CATTGAAATGGCATTGAAAATCTCGTAGAGAGCTCCCAAGCCTTCAAATCGACGCAAGCTTGCAAGACCTGCATAGAACTGAGAGCTTAGACCAAGCTTGCAGGACATGATAAGAGTAAACACTGGAGATATAATTGCTTTCCTTTCTAATTGCTTACCCAAAATCATGATTCAAAAGCAAAAGTTTAGTTTGTGGGATGGCTAGCTTGGAAATGAAGACTAAAAACTGTATCTTACTTGTAACATATTGGAATGCTAAGAGGGAATGCCTAATGTAATGTGTATATTTTGTCAATCACAAGCTAAATGTGTAAATTACATAAAGTTGTTGTATAGAAACCTACAAAGGAAATCAAATATAGATCTCAAAAGATAACTTACTAAGAAGAAGAATCAGTAGAGCGTCCTCTTTGATTGATTTGCTGCATCAAGAAGCCGACTTTGGAAAATTAATCGGTATTAAAATACAATGAAAGTTGACGAAAGATTAAATTCTGAAACTAAGATTAACATCATAACCAAAATGCTCGACAAAAATCCACGCAACTGTAGGTCAAGTAGATAAATCTCGAAAGCCTAGTAAAAAAAAAGAAAAACAATAAAAGAAGAAGAAGAAGAAGAAAAAGAAGAAGAAGAAGAAGAAAAGGGACAAATTTCCAAATCCAAAGTAATAGAATCTTGAAAATATATTTAGCTAACTATTTTGCTTTGACATGACTGCATAGTAGTATAAAACAGAAAGATGCCACCATTCCAACCAAGTACTCGACTATAGCTCTATAACTCACGCAAATGGGCATTCCTATTAACAAAATACAATTGGTATACGAATCAAAATAGAAAGGTAATAACCCAATGTTAGGTTCAACCAAGGAAATGAAGAGAATCAAATTGCTGCTTGAGTAATATTTAACAAAAAGCATAAACCAAAAAGGAGGCTAATGATGTTATTATATAGCAAGAGTGTTGGAAAAAAAATAGTTTTTTGGTAAACTTTAATGTGAAATTAAAGTAGGTCTCAACCATTGGTTAAGGTGGGATTAAATTGGTTTAGATTCTTTATAACAAGATCTTTATACCATAGAGAGAATGACCAAAAACTATTGAGAATTGAATGAGAATTTGTCTCATAAAGATGGCTTCATGAATGAGGTATTGAGAATTGTGTATAACTACCAATCCCACATTGATTGTAGAGGGAAACTTTGATGGGTATTTAAACATCAAGATTTTGATAAGGGTATGAGCCCTTTGGGGTATCCAAATTTTTCGAAGGAAGGGAGTTATGGATGTTTCAAGGATGGGCTTGGGCCAAGACTATGGTTCAAGTTGGTTATGGAAAAATTGCCACACGCACGTGGGGCCCGGACCAGGCTGGGTTCGGGTCCGAGTCCGTGGATTGTGGATCTTGGGCTTAGGCTTGGGCCGATTTGGTGGTCCATCAACCTAATCTTTTCAACCCCCTCAACTAGAGGCAACTGGGCCTCAGTTTCTGAGATCTGGAAAAGCTGCTGTGCCAGCAACCAAATATCCCGTTTTTCAGTATACTCTGGTTACTGATGGGGGGGAGCCTGAGAGTATTTCAGAAGCAAAAAGTCACACAAAGAAAGATTGTTGGATGCAAACCATGAAGGGGGAGATGAGTTCTTTGCAGAAGAACCACACTTATGAGCTTGTTTCACTTCCAAAGGGCAGGAAGGCATTAAAGAACAAATGGGTGTACAAATTGAAGAAAGATGGCAACGGTAAAATACTGCAGCATCAATTGAAGAAAGATGGCAACGGTAAAATACTACAGCATAAAGCTCGCTTGGTGGTCAAAGGTTTTGGGCAGAAGAAGGGAATTGATTTTGATGACAACTTCTTTCCAGTTGTGAAGATGACTTCCATTCAAGTAGCTCTGGGATTAGCAGCTCGCTTGAATCTGGAGGTAGAACAGATGGATGTTAAGACTGCCTTTCTCCATGGTGATTTAGAGGAAGAGATCTATATGGAGCAACCAGAAGGATTTGAAGTCAAAGGGAAACATAATCTAGTTTGCAAACTGAAGAAGAGTCTCTATGGCCTGAAGCAGGCGCCAAGATAATGGCACAAGAAATTTGATTCATTCATGGTGGATCACGAGTACACAAGAACGGTAGCAGACCAGTGTGTATATTTCCAAAGGTTTGTAGATGGAAACTTCATCATCCTACTGTTGTATGTCGATGATATGCTGATCATCGGACAAGATACTGCTATGATCAACAAGTTGAAAAAGACTTGTCGCATTATTTTGACATGAAGAATTTAGGCCCAGCGCAACAAATTTTGGGTGTGAAGATTGTTCGTGACTGGAAAGCCAAGAAAATATGGCTGTCACAGGAGAAATATGTTGAACAGGTGATTGAAAGGTTTAACATGAATGATGCCAAGCCAGTTAGCATACCACTGGCCAACCATTTCAAGGTAACAAAGTGTTCGTGTCCCACTCCCAGTTCTGAAAGGAAAGAAATGGAGGCAATCCCTTATTCTTCCGCAGTAGGAAGTTTGATGTATGCAATGGTGTGTACCCGGCTAGATATAGCTTATGCAGTTGGCGTGGTGAGCAGATTCCTCGCCAATCCAGGAAAGGAGCATCGGGAGGCAGTTAAATGGATTCTTCGGTACTTGAAGGGAACTTCAAAGATGTGTCTATGTTTTGGGGGAGCTGAACCAATTTTGGAAGGTTTTACAGATGCCGATATGGTGGGTGATCTTGATGGTAGAAAATCTACATCAGGATTTTATTCACCTTTGCAGGGGGAGCTGTTTCATGGCAGCCCAAACTACAAAAGTGTGTTGCTTTATCTACAACAGAGACAGAGTACATTGCTACCGCAGATGCTGGAAAGGAAATGTTGTAGTTAAAGCGGTTTCTCCAAGAATTGGGTCTACAGCAGGAAGAATACAAGGTACATTGCGATAGTCAGAGTGCAATTGATCTGTACACGTGGCAATTAATATTGGTTGTTATAAGATCTGAGTAGTAGCAGATCAACAAAGAGACGTACAGTGACGTGGCTTCAACGGTTGCTCACATTTCAAATTCAAATATAAGGGGGAAGCCTAACTGCAAGTAAAGGCGTAGTGGGACTATTTATAAGGTAGCATGATCAGCAACTACGGAGGAGCAGTTCGACGGTTTGAAGTACAATTCGATGGTTATCTTCGGAGAGTATAAATAGGAGGAAGGACTTCAAAGAAGGGGACGGAGAAAAATCTAAAGAATCACTTTACATATTCTAGTGTTATTTCCTGTCTTTTATATTCCTGTATTTTTAGTTTTTGCGCTGCACTTCATTTGTAGGAGTAGTTGTCAAGTACATTGCCGCTGTAATTCTCTACGGAACTGAGATCATTGTAAGTTCCTTTTATACTAATGAAATACTCCAGTTTAGTTAACTGTTCTTATGTTCAGATTTTCTGAAGTTTAATTACCAGAAAGCCACTAGTAAAAGTCCTCTTTATTGAGGCCGAAAGAACCATAACACAATCGTCTTAATAATTGTTTGGCAATTCTGTAAGGACTGATTGATCCTTGTTGGCACGCTCATAATTACGAAAGTAACCTTCGAAAGCCAAAAAAGCCAACAAATTGACTCATAAGACTTTTGAGAAAGCACTATAACATATAAGAATTTTAGAGATTAAATTTTTTTATTTTTAAAAGTATAAATTTTGTTACAAAAAATATTTAGTAACTAATTTTAGTTGTCGCAAAGACAGTCACTAAAAGGTAGTTTCAAAAAGGCAAATAAGTAGCTTTTAGAATAAAATTTTATAAATGTCACTTATAGATGTACTTTAGGGACAAAATAATTTGGTTTCAAAAAGATTTATTTTTTGAGACAAAATTTTAATCCCAAAAGAATAATAATTCATCACTAATATCTAGATTTATATGAGTAATGAAGAATATGGATGATTGGTAATAGGGGTGGCGCAGATCAGTTGCGGTCACGGGACTTCTAATTCGCCATTGGAGAAAATCAATCCGCATTTGTCCGCCAATCCGGTAGATGCGGATTGAGCGAATTGATGGATTGATACGAATCAGTTTAACGGTTTAAAATTTAATAAATTTTCGACATAATTTAATTGTGACCATCTTGGGTAAATTTATTAGAAGAGTCCAATTGGGTAAATTTGAAACGCCAGATTTGTTACAAACTACGGCAAAAAAAATAGTTTTTGAGACAACAAAAGTTGGTCTCTAAAGTTTTAGTTTTTGAGACAATTAGAAGTGGTCTGAAAAAGTTTTAGTTTTCGAGATGACTAATAGAGGGCTCTAAAAGTTATAATTTTTTTTGAGACAACTAAAATTGGTCTCTAAAATTTGATAATATATATATATATATATATTTTCTTTTTGATTTTGTAACATTACTCATATATAACTTTTGCATCAATAATAAAATTGTTTCTCTGAAAAAAAATTACAATTTCTTTTTGATCAGCAAAACAAAAAGCTATATTGATTGTAACAACACACAACATAAGATTCAAATGATATTTTCCATATTTTTCCTCCTATTTCTCAGCAAGCAAACAAATACCAAAGAACCAAATACTAGAACAACTTTCATTCACATCCATTAATTTATTATTAGCAATTATTTTAATATATCATTGCAAACATCCAAAAGAAAGCAATTTGACTTTCACATTTCCAGCAAAAAATCAAATAACCAAAAGCATAACAATAATACATCAGCCAAAATAACAAAAACACCAGCTGCAACCCAGGTACCTTGCAAACCCCTGTATAGAAGTTGCACCTTTAGAGGGGCCACATTCCTCCAGAACAGGTCAGAAATGTGGCTGATAGCTCATATGAGAGTTTGAGCATATTCAAAGAGTTCACTTCAGGGCCTAATAGCTCATATGAGAGTTTGACCATAACTTGTTTGACTAATATGGAGTTCCTAATTCATTTTCACAAGCAAAATAAGGTAAATTATAATCCATGCTCTGATTCATTAGTACGTAATATATATGGATTCTCTATCATAAACTAATCGATTTCAAAAGTATCATTTCTATTTTATAAGGCTAGTGCTATAAGTATTGTTTGTAGCATTCAACTATTCAATGAACAGATTGTAAATTGCCGTCATATCTACCTACAGAACAGAATAACTCAATACATCTTCTTCTCAAGGGCTTCATTGAAATGGCATTGAAAATCTCGCAGAGAGCTCCCAAGCCTTCAAATCGACGCAAGCTTGCAAGACCTGCATAGAACTGAGAGCTTAGACCAAGCTTGCAGGACATGATAACAGTAAACACTGGAGATATAATTGCTTTCCTTTCTAATTGCTTACCCAAAATCATGATTCAAAAGCAAAAGTTTAGTTTGTGGGATGGCTAGCTTGGAAATGAAGACTAAAAACTGTATCTTACTTGTAACATATTGGAATGCTAAGAGGGAATGCCTAATGTAATGTGTATATTTTGTCAATCACAAGCTAAATGTGTAAATTACTTAATGTTGTTGTATAGAAACCCACAAAGGAAATCGAATATAGATCTCAAAAGATAACTTACTAAGAAGAAGAATTAGTAGAGGGTCCTCTTTGATTGATTTGCTGCATCAAGAAGTCGACTTTGGAAAATTAATCGGTATTAAAATACAATGAAAGTTAACGAAAGATTAAATTCTGAAACTAAGATTAACATCATAACCAAAATGCTCGACAAAAATCCACGCAACTGTAGGTCAAGTGGATAAATCTCGAAAGCCTAGTAAAAAAAAAGAAAAAAAGTAAAAGAAGAAGAAGAAGAAGAAAAAGAAGAAGAAGAAGAAGAAAAGGGACAAATTTCCAAATCCAAAGTAATAGAATCTTGAAAATATATTTAGCTAACTATTTTGCTTTGACATGACTGCGTAGTAGTATAAAACAGAAAGATGCCACCATTCCAACCAAGTACTCGGCTATAACTCTATAACTCACGCAAATGGGCCATTCCTATTAACAAAATACAATTGGTATACGAATCAAAATAGAAGGGTAATAACCCAATGTTAGGTTCAACCAAGGAAATGAAGAGAACCAAATTGCTGCTTGAGAAATATTTAACAAAAAGCATAAACCAAAAAGGAGGCTAATGATGTTATTATATAGCAAGAATGTTGGAAAAAAATAGTTTTTTGGTAAACTTTAATGTGAAATTAAAGTAGGTCCCAACCATTGGTTAAGGTGGGATTAAATTGGTTTAGATTTTTTGTAACAAGATCTTTATACCATAGAGAGAATGACCAAAAACCATTGAGAATTGAATAAGAATTTGTCTCATAAAGATGGCTTCATGAATGAGGTATTGAGAATTGTGTATAACTACCAATCCCACATTGATTGTAGAGGGAAACTTTGATGGGTATTTAAACATCAAGATTTTGATAAGGGTATGAGCCCTTTGGGGTATCCAAATTTTTCGAAGGAAGGGAGTTATGGATGTTTCAAGGATGGGCTTGGGCCAAGACTATGGTTCAAGTTGGTTATGAAAAAATTGCCACACGCGTGTGTGCGAGCGCTGCTTGCCCTCCTACACTAGGTTGGGTCCGTGGATCTTTGATCTTGGGCTTGAGGGCTCGCTGGAATGGGTTAGGTTTGGGCTGGGCCGGATTGATGGTCCACCAACCTAATCTTTTTGGGCCAAGTCTGCTGCAGATATATACCCTTGTGTGTACAGAATATATATCTCATATATATTATTGTCCCATCAGTTTTGGTCCATTACTCTAGCTGTTTTACAGGAGTAATGACCATTAGTTGCCAGCCTTCATGAGTATTGGTTGCTAGCTTTCATGAGTATTGGTTGCTAGCCTTCATGGCTGGAGGCTCCTCCTCTCTCTCCCATGGTGTATAAAAGGAGACCCATCTCCTTTGGTGTTGGTACATATTTTTTGCGCCTAGAATATACTAGTCAGTTTGTTTGTTCATATATTTTTTTTTGTGTGAGAGAGTCCTGTCATTGTCGGTTTGCCAAAGCTAACAGAAAGTGCTTTTGCGTTAGCCAGTCTAAGCCATCTTATCCTGGGAGACAGAAGTCGACATTGCTCCAGCACTCACGGTGAGACGGCTAATCTGTTTTAAATATTGTGGTATCACATAAAATTTGGTTTGATTCCTCGTCTTTCAATACATTATGTGATATGTATTTCTGTATTATGCTTTAGAATGTAATATGGATTTATTTGATGTTCTATTATTGAATTTAATAAATTATGAATCTATTTATCTTGTTTAATTTACACAATTTGAATAACAAAGAGAATATTACATTTGATTCTTTATTTTAACTAGACTGTCTTTTTAATGATTGGCAGAAAGAAATGTATGTTTGAGCTTTATCAAGTGCACATGAGCTAAGTTTACCCACATTGTGTTAAGTTGATCAAGCTTTTACAATTGCACTAGCCCCTAAATAATGGTTTCTTAATACATAAATAAATAGATCCAATGAAAATAGTTCACCTAAACTGATATCGATGAGACGTAAAATTAGGAGATGCTTGCAAAAACAAAAGTTGTATCAGGCTATCAGCCCTCACGAATCAACCATCATTCTCAATAAAAATAATTTATAAGGAATCCTAAGATTAAAAAATACATAAACTGCATACAAGGCAAATAATAAGAAGCTAACAAACTGCCTTCAAGTTTAATGTTAAAACAATACCTGCCATGACCTTTCCTAATCAAGTGGCATTGGCCAAGCCGGAAACCAAGCTCCAATAACAGCTCCATGAGCAGGTAGATAGATCATATAATCAATAGATCCTATTGCCATACCCTCTACTTTTTTTTTTATTTTGTTATTTTTTTATATACATTTTTTTAAACCCAAATCAAGGGAGACTCAAATGTTTACTCAAATTTTCAAAATTTACAACTTTTTCATTACTGGAGCTTTAACTCAAATTTATGCTTAAATTTGTTTTGTGCATTGGAGTGTTTCATACCAAAAACAACTTTTACTCAAAGATCAAATTTATGCTTCAATCTGTTTTGTGCATTGGAGTATTCCATGGATTGCATTTCTTCCTCAAACTCAAGTAATTTCATGGCAAGGCTTTTAAGTTCTGCTGAATATGCTTCTATGGAATCTCTGCATGGTATGAGACAAGTGTTTACTAATGATCTTTTTTAATCCATAGGAGACAATTTACCAAAAAAAAAAGAAAAGCGGAAAAAAAAAAGAGAACAAGGGTTTTTTGGCTTATTTTATAAGGTCTTGATGTTCCGCATCGGGAATAGAGGGGGAGTTCCTGGGCTATAAAGGTAAAAACTTGGACCGTCATATAGCATCGAGGCCTTTTCTTGAGTGGTGAAATCCCTAGCAGAACTCCCCAGTAAAGCGTGCTTAGATTGGAGTAGTTTTGGGATGGGTGACCCACTGGGAAGAACAAATCCGTGAGGGTGTGGCCCAAAGCAGACAATATCGATGACATGTGAAGGGTGGGGACGTTACAAATGGTATCAAAGTTGACTCTCCGGAGTACCGAGTGTGGGCCCCTAGTGTCTCTCGGTGTATGTGGGCGGGCTTATAAGTTGGCAGACTACTGCACAGGGACGCGCAACCTTAAGGATGGTAGATTGTAAGGTTCCGGTGTCCCACATTGGGAATGGAGAGGGGGTTCCTGAGCTATAAAAGTAAAAATCTGGACCCTTATATAGCATCGAGACCTTTTCTTGAGTGGTGAAATCCCTAACAAAACTCCTCAGTTTAGCGTGCTTAGGCTGGAATAGTTCTGGGATGGATGACCCACTGGGAAGAATAAATCTGTGCGGCCGTGGCCCAAAGGGGACAATACTGATGACATGTGAAGGGTGGGGGCGTTACATATTTAGTTTTATTTATTTTCATCTTTAGTAATTTTTTTTTTTCAAAACTATGTCAAATATTTTTGCTTTTTGATCCGTCTTGAGTAGATGACAGTGACACTACAACAAATTAAAATTTTAAAGACATAAATTTAGAAATAATATTAGGAATCATGAAAAAAATATCATGAAATGTATCATGAAGATTTCTCATTTTTTGATTAGTGTGGGGTGTTTTATTATATGTATAATTCAAAGGTGGAGAATCTTTCATAATCATCTTCATGATATTTTTTTTTATCATTCCTAGCATTTAGGGATGAATTGTCAAAAGTGTCATTATTATATTTTTAACGAAAAAATATGATATTTAGTGGTGAGTTATTATCTTTTTAAGACCAAATTTTTTTGTTTCAAAAAATAATATTTTTGGAACCAAATTATTTTGCCGTGTATGTATTAACGACATTTTTAAATTTTATTGCTAAAAGTATTTTTTTAGACTTTATGAGATTATCTTTATGCGATTTTGCTCACGACGATATAAAATTTTTTTACAACAAAATTTCACTTTTAGAGAAAAAAAGCTTAGTTTCTGAGACTCTAATACGTTGTTTTTCTTGTTGGAGATTCTAACTGCTTTTTTAGATAAAGTGTTTTTAGCTAGAGAGATCCCTTTGAGAGCAAAAACTATTATGGGTTCGTTTGGGATGTAGGTTGGCTTTTTGACTATTTTAGCTTGGAGTTAAAAAGTCTCGTTTGGGATGGGCTTTTTGACTTTTTTGACTTTTGTGAGAGAAAAAATGAAATGATTATGGTTTAGATGTGACATTTTGGCTTCATTTGGGATGTGGGTTGGCTTTTTGGATATTTTGGCCTGGGGCTAAAAAGCCTCGTTTGAGATAAGCTTTTTGACTTTTTTGATTTTTGTGAAAAAAATAACATGATTATGGTTTGGATGTGACATTTTGTCTTATTAGCCTTTTAGTCTATAAAGTTTATGCCAAACGAGGGCTTTGTCTTATTGGTTTTTTTGCCTATTTTATTTTTTTGTGGCTAAAATAACTAAAAAGTTAGACTTTTTGGCATGCCAAACAAAGGCTATATGAGTTAGGAAGTTTACGTAGTGTGTGCCCAACCAATGGTATTTTATTTTATTTTTTTTTTATCATTTTCGTGTTTGTAGGGCCATATAATTCTTATGCTGTATTTGGTTGGGAGATTTAGAAAGGGAAAAGAAAAATGTGTGTGAAATTAGGTGAAATTTAGGTATATTTATTTACATTTCACCTATTTTTTCTATTCCTTCTCTAAATTTCTTTTCAGATCCCTCAACCAAACACAACATTAAGATCCCTGCTATTGATCGAGTACACTACGACCATAAAATTCTCAAAACATAAGATAATTACTCGAGTATGAGAGAGTGAGACAGAGAAAAAGAGAGACAGAGTGACCTTAAGGGAAGGGGAAGTTTGGGAAATAAATGTGGTTTTCTTAAGTGAGTTGGAAGGGTGACCATGTAAAAGAGGTTAGCCCAGTCAAGCTTCTGTTCCTCATACCTTACAAAGGCTTATCCAAATCCTTCTATATCCTCTGGTTGTTGCCAAAATTTGTCCTTCTCTTCTATTGGCAAATTGAAGAAATCTTAAATCTTCAATTTCACCTTCTTTACCAATGAAGAGCTCACTCCATGATCTATCAGCTGCAATTTTATTATAATACTAGATTAACAACAAATATGTGAAGAATTTATATTAAATTGGATAATTGTAATCCAACACAAATATGAGAAGAATTTAATTGTTAAAAATAAAAGTTTTATTATTAAAATCGTGCTTCTTGTTTATTTTTTTTTAAAAAATAAATGTAATTTAATTGATGTTTGATTGATTTGATTTTTCTATGAATGATCTTT